GTAAAACACGTTATCATTTTATTACTTTTTTTTTAATTTTTTTTAACGTTTATTTATTTTTGAGACAGAGAGAGACAGAGCATGAACGGGGGAGGGTCAGAGAGAGAGGGAGACACAGAATCTGAAACAGGCTCCAGGCTCTGACCCGTCAGCACAGAGCCTGACGCAGGGCTTGAACTCACGAACCGCGAGATCATGACCTGAGCCGAAGTCGGACGCTTAACCGACTGAGCCGCCCAGGCGCCCCTTATTACCTTTTTTTAATTGAATGCTAAATTTCACTGCCATATGGCAAGTCATTTATTATAGAAAGAACTAGCCTCTATCTCAACTGAGCCTCCAGAGTGCTGTTCCTCTCTACACAGTATAGAATACATGCATGTGCCCCCATAAAACATAGTACTACTCAAGGCCAAAACAAGGTAAGCACCAAGCTGGGGACTAAGAGGCAGAAAGGTGAGGACATGAATGAAGGAAACAGAAGAGAAGAGAACAACGGCAAGCAGCCTGCCCTGGAGAATCTCAAAAGAGGAGAAACAAGAGCATAGAAAAAATGGTGAGGGGAGAGGGGGAGGGAACGGCATACAGTCCTACTAAGTGCAACAGAATAGGGGCGCCCAGGTAGCTCAGTTGGTTGAACATACAGCTTCCACCCAGGTCATTATCTCATGGTTCATGAGTTCGAGCCCCACATGGGGCTCTGAGTTGACAGTGTGGAGTCTGCTTGGGAGTCTCTCTCTCTCTCTGCCCCTCCCCCACTCGTGCACTCTTACTCTCAAAATAAATAAATTTGAAAAATAATAATAAAAATAAAATAAGTGCAACAGAATAAATAAAGTAAATGAAGGAATACTCATGCAGAAAAACCACAAATTGCAAATCCTAAAAAACAAAGTCTGTTCAAAGGAGAAAATGTTACAAATAGCAAAACAGATGGTGGAATGGAGAAGAGGGACTCCTGCAACACAGGAAACAAGTTTCCTTTCCCATCACCACCAGCTCCCAAGCCCAATACCTTCTTGCCACCTGTCCCTTGTCCCCTTCCCTCAGAGGGCCTTCCTGGCTCTAGCCACAAGAAGAACAATCCCCCACCGGACTTCCAACAGAGGGGTCATGCCTCCCCCATGGCACTTAACACACCCTTGTGTAATGAGCTATTTCCTTGTCAGGCTCCCAGATATCCAGTGAATTCCTGAGAGCTAGAGGCCACATCGTAATATCTGTACCCCCACAGCCCAGGACAGTACCTGGAAATAACAGCTGCTCAGTAAGCACTTTTGAAATGTAGAATAAATTCACGAAAGCTAGTCTGCCACAAAGTTACCCAAATTGCAGAGGCATCGGAGGTTAAGGGAGAGCAGACTGAGAGAAATGCAGTCCTACTGAGCCCCAGCACCAGATACCTCATTCCTGCTGCCCAAGGCAACAAGAAGCCACTGAAACTTGTCTTCTCACGGAAATGAATGTCCACCCAGAAAGACTGGCTGTAATTCTCCACAGATCCTGGTTCCAATCCCGTGCTGACCTCACCCTGCTGTTATGAGTCTGGAGACTGATTGCTTTGCAGAATCAAATGTGCGCTCCTTCTCCAAGACCATGAACTGACTCTGAATCTTTAAGAAAACTCCTCAAATTGCCAAAATATTTGTTGTATGATCAATTCTTTTTTTCTCCTTTGCGCACAGCAAAGTCTCCTCCCTGGGTCATGTCTTTCCAGTGTTTTGATTTCAACACCCCACACCCCTCCCTCTGCCCGCCAAGAGGACAGCAGCGTCTCCCCATAGCCTGGGCCCAGACTTGTTTTCATGCACAGCAACTCTGACAGTGGGTCAACGGGGGTGCTCCGGTGCCCATCAGTCCCAATGCTCCCACTGTTCCCCCTTCAGGTACCTGGCACCTGGAGCTCTACAGGTGCTGTTCTCGCCTCTTCCTCATAGGAGGAAGTACAGTCTGATGGAGACTGACCCTTCCCTGCTTCCTTCCTGTGTGCTATCAGAGTCACTAGCCATTTTTCAGAATTTTCTGGGGGGACCAAGGAATAGGTGACTCTAAAGATGTCTGACAGTTCAAGATCCATTATAGACCAAAGGTGATTAACAAAATAAGCATATTTCTAAAAACTTGTTATCCAAACAAACCATATACAATTGACCCTTGCACAATATGAAGGTTAGAGGCACTGACTCCCATTGCAGTCGAAAATCCACACATAACTTTTGGCTCCCTAAAAACTTAACTAAAAATACCCTAGCGTTGACCAAAACATACCAGTAACAGTCAATTAACACACGTTTTGTATGCTATATGTATTATACGCTGTACTCTTACAGTAGAGTAAGCTAGAGAAAAGAAATTGTTATTAAGAAAATTGTAAAAGAAAATCCATTTAGAGTCCTATACTGTATTGGAAAAAGTCCACCTGCAAGTGGACCCATGCAGTTCAAACCCATGTTCAAGGGTCAACTGTAAATACATATAGATAGATAGATAGATAGAGATATAGATATATAGATATGCAATCCTACTGCATATCCTATATATATATATATATATATATATATATATATATATATATATATATATATATATATATATATCCTCATTTTAGTTTGAAAAAGCATTGCTTACACCAACATTACAATAATCAGGGAAGTTCATACCCGACTTAAAGGATTACTACTAAACCTTACAAAGTAAAACACAAGTTTCTCTTGCGTTGGAGTGCAGCAGGAGACTCCTCCAGGTTCCCAGAGACCACATCTGCCTTGTCTACAAAGAGCAGCTGCAGGCTCGTGTTCTCACCACATACTGTACCTTCCCCAGGGGAATTCAGGAATGAGCAGTTCCTAAGACCCTGAGAATGCTGCAGGCCCTGAAGTCTGTGCTGGCAAGGAGGCGAGGCAGAGATGTTTACTCGAAAGCATTAAGCACATACCTGGATGTTGGTCCTGCCAACACAGCTTCCCCACTTTCTGGCTTCGCCCTCTAGAAGCCTAAGAGAAGGACAGCTTCCAAAATTCACATCTTGCACATCACTGCTTCTGACCCAAGTGGCCATGCATCTTGTACCCATTATGCATGGTTAGCATAGCCCCTGGGTCTAGACACCACTGACAAACAGAAGCTGTCATGCTGCTTGATTGCTTCTTCTTTAAAACGCGAATCCTTCTGATGATGTGGCCCATACTCCCAGCAGGAGTCCTCTTTCTAGGGCTGGCTCCAAAAGTCAACCTAACCACAAAGCAGTGGAGACTGAGGTCTGTTATGTTAGAAGCACTGAGTGACCTCCACAGGGGCATCCCAGGTAGCAGATGGGCCAACAGCTGCTTTGCCCATTAAGATATCCTGTTCTTGGCCTTTGCTTTCTCCCCCCAAGCAATCTGACTGCCGAGTTGGTCTGTGTGCAGAGGTCGAAGCCACCTCCTCTGCAGTTTCCCCATGACTCAGACAGTGTGTGCAGGGGCTGGGCAGTGGCAGCTCTACAGACCTCAATTGGAAGAATGAGTGCAAGGAAACAGACTCAGGCCAAAGACCTCCCTAGAGGAACCAGGTGGTGGGAGGAGAAGGCTGGGAAAAGAGGAAGTTCAATTCCAGGAGGGGACAGGCGGTGCCAAATGGGTTAGTGTGGAAGACTTTAGCTCCAGCCCAGTGTGTGCCAGTGCAGCTCTGAGTGGCCTTTGGAAACAGTGGAGAGTGAGAGCCCCATGGGTAACCAAGGATTCTGTGCCATTCCCAGAATGATGTGGTTATGACAATAACAAAACAAGAGCATGGCACCAATTCAAGTTGCAACCCCCAAAATCAGAGGAAGCGGGTCACCTGGATGCCCCTCTTCCTCCCAGTCCCATGAATCTGAGAAATTTCAAGAATCCAAAATCTTCAACGTACCCAGTCACCACAATACCTGTGAATGTAAATTTTCATAAAGCCATAGCAAAGAGCAGAGGTGCTTCTGCGATCTGACCATCTTTCCATTCCCAACACTCAGTACCTTTCCAGTCCTGCACCTGGGGTCTCCAGATGCTCTTTACTAAGCTCACACCACCTGCACACTGCCAGGGGCAGAAACTGGAGCCCTACAGTCAAGTGTGGTCATCAGAAGTTTCAGTGAATCAGTGTCATAAGTAACCTCTGCTGCTCTGCTCCATAACACACATCAGGGCAAATGGGTCACCCTCGGCCAACAAGGAAATGGGAAAATTGAGAGATTTTACCCAACTCGGCTCCAAGTGCAACTCCACTTGAAACTCCAACCTCCAAACAGGTGCTTGAACTAGATGGCCTGCTCTGAATGGACTGGAATCCCCTCAAATAGAAGGCAGGCCCAGCACACAAGGGTACAGGAGAAGCAGCAAAGAAGGACGGAATGCTCCCAAGTACTTGAGTCTGTCTTTTTCATTTCAACCCACAAAATATCCCAATTGATTCCCTTCGTCCCAATCCAGGTTTTCCAGGCCCAGGACAGAGGATAACTGAACATGTTACCCAGAAGAAATGTAGCCAGGCTCCGAACTGGAACGCTTGCATCACCTTCCAGTTTCACAAGAAGAGAAAAGAAGCCTCAGAAGAGCTGTCTGGAAGGATTTAGACGCCCTGGTTGAATAGGGGCGGACCTTTCCCGACCCCTCCAACACCATCCTCAGAGCGCCTCCTATCTGCCTTGGAGGCACACTGCGGCTCCGGGGCGGCAACTTCCTGGGTTCCGGCCCCTCCGCGCCTGATCTAGGAGGCGCTGATTGGCCACGCCAGGCCAACACCTTCTGAAGTAGCAGGCGCTCCTCCGACAGCCCACGTGCATCCAGATGCACGTGAGCCGAAGCTCCACGGAGCCCAGGAGCGGACTGTCCCTGTTAGAACCAAAGTGGGAGACGGGAGAGATCAACAAAATTTTAACCCGGGGTCACTTGATTGGCACAAAGGGCATTTGGAGAGCTAAGGACGGTGACCCTAAGAAAATGGGGTTATCTGGGTCCAAAGAGTTGACAGATCATCTAACTCACCTGCCTGGTGAAGAGGATGGCTGTGTCCCAGTACTCTGGGTGTTTGTCACTCACTTTATTCAGCTTCTTCTGCCAGGCGCAGAAGTTGCGCAGCGTCAAGGCCGCGTTGCCCGTGACCTTGGGCCCGGCGTCGCGGTCTCCGAGAAGTAGCACCTTGACCACAACGATGGTGATGGGGTTGAGGATGCTGGGATGGCGGTAGAGTCGCGCCGCTGTGGCCAGCAGCGTCAGCAAGTAATGCTCCAAGTCCGCGCCGTGGAACTTCACCATTGACTCGTCTGCCACCACCAGTGTCTCCACGAACCGCGGGATAGACACGAAGCGTTTGGCGCGCCCGGACCTGCGCCGGCTGCGACTCTCTCCTAAGCCGGTCCCTCGCGGCTTATAAGGGTCCAGCGCCCGCAGGATGGCGGGGTTCCAGCCTGAGGCCACCCCGCAGCGAGAGGTGGGATCTCCGGGTGGCCCGCCAGGGGCGCCCCGGCGCTGGAGGAGGTGTGCGCCCTGGCTGTTGCGCTGCACTGCCTGCGCGCTGGCGTTGGGGAGTGGGCTAATGACATACTCGGCGCCTCCGTAGCCAAAAGCTCCTCGTAGACCCCCGCACAGGCTCACAGCAGCGAAGGAGTCTGGTTCGGCGTTCACGTCCCCAGAGTAGAAGCAACGTCGCAAGTCTGCAGAGCTCCCGGTGAGTCCCGCGAGGGGGACGCCCAGATGCTCAGTGGCGAAGGCGGGCGCCAGGAACTGAGCATCTGGAGTTAAGTGTAGGTAAAAGTCCTCCTGAAATGCTGTGATCTGAAAAATGAGTCCCTGGTGCCCGGAGTCCTCGGGACCCCTCCGGTAGTAGTGGCGGCCATTGATGTCCGGGTCCAGTCGAATGGGAACCACCACCTCCTGCTCTGGTTCTGCCCCGCCAGCGGGTCCCCCGGCGAGAGCCAGGGTTAAGATGCCCAGCAGAAGCATGGCGCCGGGCAGCGCACTGCCGCACTCTCAGAAGGGCTCGGCGCGGCTCCCCGGCCGCCGGCGAGTCTCCTTGCAGCAGGCACACGGGAACCACCAAACCTCCGGGGCAGTCCGCAGCTCCCAGAAAGCAGAGCAAAGAGAGAGAGACTCCTCCCAGAGCAGTGAGCGTGCACCGAACAGCCCGCGCCTCCTACCTGTGCCTTTCCAAGCAAAGCGCGCCCTGGGAGCTTAAGTACAATCGCTGTCAAGTGCAAGGACAGAGATTTGCAGCCGAGAACTAGAGGGAGGTGCCGGGCCACTTCGAACCGCAGCCACTCGCTGCGCTGAGAGCCAGGAGCTGGGCGAGCCTATTAAAGGCCCCCTCCTCTTTGGACTGCCCAGTCAGCGCCCCTCCCTCTCTCCCCTCCCAGCCTCCCAAAGCTTGCAGCCCGAACCTCCCTCCAGGGGCCACCGGAGAACTCGGTCCCGCCTCCAGAGCGAAGAGCCACTTGGCGGGGAGGGAGTGGCGTTGAGCTGAGGCAGGAGGCGTGGGCTGGCTAGAGAAACCAACGCTTACAGTCTCGGTTCGCATTTTGCCCTCGCGTTATGCCCTAGTGCCCCCACACACCAGTTACTTCCGTCCCGATCGACATCTGTCTGCTCCCTGGGTCAAGGCCTTTATCTCCAGGCAGTTAGGGTCGGGAGCTGGGAATGAAGACTCACCGTTGACCCCTCCCCTCCCCTCCCCATCCTAGTCCCGCCTTACCCCTCCCGTTGCAACGTCCCTCCTGTTTCTTCATCACAGAGTCCCCTAAAAGACCCAGAACCAAGAATTGTCCCTGTAAATGTCATATCGTCAGAAGGACGAATTCCCAGGAACACGGAGAACCCTTCTCGAACCCGTGTAGGCCTACAGTCTGCCCTGAGGCAGTGGTGTGCTGGGTGGGCTGGTTCAGAGGTTAAATTTTCAGGGATTTTGCCAGGTGGCTGTTAAACACCACCGTTACTAAAAATTACACTATATAACTTACAATTATAAATTGTTTAATAACAAACCCCATCACTTCCTAATTATTTAACTATAATCTATGCCCTTGAACCTCCAGAACCACCAACCCTCCAGGACAGCCCACAGCTCCCAGAAAAGACAGCATAGGAGGTGAAAGTATGATGGAAATATTAAATGCTACCTCATTCAAGGACATCACAATAAGAGCTGGAAACAGGTCCCAGGGGGAGTACCTACACCACCAAATGGGCAACTGCTATCACCTAGTGCTTGGGGAAGGGAAGAGAACCAGTGGGCCAGCACCAATGCCTGGAGGGGATGTGCAGAAAGGGGTGGTTTTCCTGCCAGAGAGGGGCTGAGGGACTGGTGGGCAATAGGAAAATCCGCCAGTACTTCCTTCGAGTTTCTCTCGTTAGATCCTTGACCAGGTACCACGTAGGGCACTTGAAGGGAAGGCTGAGTGCGGGTCAGTGGGGACAAGACCATCAAGCCATGAGTTCCCATCTAGTTCCAACATAGTCTGGGGAGCCCTGTTTCAGGCACTGGTCCCCAAGATGCTCTGTACCTCTCCAAAAAATCCCCTTCTTTCTTCTGACAAGGAAAAAATGCAAGTAGAGGAAAGAAGGTCTTTGTAGTTTCTCCTAGTATCTAGAACATCTTGTCAGAATCAAAAGGCTCCAAGTGAGTTTCCAAGAGGAGAGGACAGGACAGGGGAGGATGCAGTGATTTGAAGCATGAAGTGGGGTGGTGCAGAAGAATTTTGGAATTTTCTTAGGGACATGGCTGCTCAAGTGAACAACTCTACTGCTGAAGGAAAGAGAATGCCGGGACTGGTCCATCAGTTAAGAGTACTTTTTGCCCATTACCTTCTCCCCACAAAGGACTCAGTCTTCCAAGAGCCCCCTGGCACCTTGGAACAGGAAGCCTGCTCAGATACCCATATTTCTCCTGGGCCCCTCCTCAATTGAGATGCACAGGGCTGAAATTCATTATGTGAATGAGTAAGAGATGGGTGTTTAAGCTCTGTAAATGCAAGGGAGCATGTGCATATGGCAGGAATGTATGTGAGAGCAAGGAGATTCAAATTTACAAAGCCCTTGTGTGTTTGAGTGTTTCAAGAGGGCCTATAATTAAAGGAAAACTCAGACAGACCAAGGGCAATCATAAGTCACTTATTTAGAGCAAGCAATTGTTTTCCTACGCCCAGCAGTTTTAATGATGGGTTACAAGGTTTCCAAAGACATTTACTTTCACTGTGGTGGATGGGGTTCGGTAAGGGCTGTGCCATGTCAATCAAGATGGCAGGCTCAAGGAGAGGAAGCCCTTCTCCACCTGTGTGTCTTGCTTCCTCTTCCCCAACCATGGTCCAACTGTTCTCACCACTGGGCACAGAAACCAGCCATGTGGACTTTCTCAAAGGCACTGGCATGCATTGAGCACTCACTCTGTGCTGAGCACCACACCAAGAATCTCATGTGCATTATCTTCCTTAATGCTTATCTGTCCCCTCTTGGAGGCTACAGTTCTGTCCAGTCACTTCCGCCAGGTTCGTGTATCTATGGATATGCTGAAATAGATTACAAACAGCATTCGAGTAGAAGGCAGAATTCAGCATCAACCCTCCATTTCCATCACTAATCTGATACTCTGACTCTTAATTTTCCCATCTGTCAAAAGAGGAGGGATTACCCTAGACCAGAGGTCTTCTCTTCGAGGACCGCATTAGAAATCTCTGGTATATATGATATCTAAGATCACTTCCAGATCAAATGTTACATGACAGTTTGACACCTGTGGAAGGCAACATTGCATGATGATTGAAAGTCTAGGCTCAGAGGACCCAGACGTGCAACCTTGCTCCACCAACCTCAGTTGTGCAATCTCAGGTACGTGACTATGTGACTGGACCTCCTGAAGCCTCAGCTTTTTCATTATTAAAGTTAGGATAATAATACTACCCATCTCTATCGTTACTATGAAGATTAAATAAGTTAATGCTTAAAAAGTGCTTGGACGTGCTTGGTACATAAAAAAATGATTCTTAAATGTTATTTAATAACTAATATACTCATTAGCCATTATTATTATTATCAAGCCTTCCTTGGCCCTCCAAGATAACTGCCATCATCACCTTTTGAAGTCTTCTGATATTCCTAACAGGGAAGGGATGGAAGTTAATGGGAACAACCTCTCCTAGCTCTGCCCAGAAACCTCCAATGTCACTTCGACCACCCCACCTCACATTAGGACACTGCTGTTGCCTCCCTCTGGCTTCTGCCTGTCCTCCACCATCTTCTTTTTTATTTAATGTTTATTTATTTTTGAGAGACATAGAGAGCGAGCTAGTGGGGGAGGGGCAGAGAGAGAGAGGGAGAGAGAGGATCTCAAGCAGGTCCCAAGCTGTCAGTGTGGAGGCTGATGCAGGGCTCGAACCCACAAACCGTGAGATCATGACCTGAGGTGAAACCAAAAGTCGGACACTTAGCCAGCTGAGCCACCCAGGAGTCCCCCTCCACCATCTTAAGATCTTTGAGAAATAAAAAGCAAAAAACAACTCCTTCCCCCCCAAAGAAAGACTGGGAGTGTAGTCCATGGTGTCAAATCTAAATACTTCAGCTTGGCCAGTTATGCCTTTTGCCAACTAGGCCGACCTCTCCCTGCCCTTCAGGTCTCCAGCCAGGTGCTGCCTCCTGAGAGGGGACTTCTTAGGCCACCTGATCTAAGAAGCCCCAAATCATGACCATGATTCCATGTTTTATTTTTTCCATGGAATTTAATTCTATTTAAACCTGTTTTATTCACTTGGATCTTAACTTTCTCACCCCAACTAGAACGAAAGTGGGACCTTGTCTGTTTCATTCCCTATTATATCCCCCAAGGCCTGGCACAGTGCATGGCAAATAGGAGCTCTCCATTCATAGTGAGTGGATAAATCGACTCACTTCTAATCCCAGCTTGGTCACTCATAGTCTATGAAACTCTGGACAAGGTACTTCATCTCTGGGGGCACCTGGGTGACTCAGTTGAGCCTCTGACTCTTGACTGCAGCTCAGGTCATGTCTCATGGTTTGTAGGTTCAAACCACACATCAGGCAATGCAGATCCTGCTTGAGATTGTCTTTCTCTCATTCTCTGTCTGCCCGTCCCCTTCTCTCTCTCTCTCTCTCTCTCTCTCTCTCTCTCAAAATAAATAAATAAACTTAAAAGAAGATACTTCATCTCTAAAATGGGGATAAGACTAGCTTTTAGGAGAGTTTGGAGTGCCTGACACACTGCTCCCATGATTATTAATGCTCTTCAACTCTCTGATGGAAAGCTCAGCCCAGTAGCCTAGTCACCTAGCCCACTCATTTCCTAGTTGAGGCAGCTGAAGTCCAGAGGGATGGTTACTTATCTAAGGCTCCCAGCCAGCTGCTTTGCTCATGTCGTAAACTTGTTTCTCCCTACCCTTTACATGAAAACCTGGCTCTAACTTGGCTTCTTCTGCCCAGAAGCTGTTCTTACAACATGCATAGCTTTGTGTAAACCATTTCTTCCATATAGGATGCCCTCTCAGCCTCCTCTATGCCTATGGATTTAACTTTCACCTCCTATGTGAAAGCACTTCACTTAACTCACACAGCACAGCTTTGTTCCTTGTTTCTCAATTCCTTCAGTGTATGCTTATTCCATTTCTAACATAAGAATATTCCCTTTGGGGGTACCTGGGTGGCTCAGTCAGTTAAGCATCTGACTTTGGCTCAGGCCATGGTCTCACAGCCTGTGAGTTCAAGCCCCACATCGGGCTGTGTGCTGACAGCTCAGAGCCTGGAGCTTGCTTCAGATTCTGTGTCTTTGTCTCTCTCTGCCCCTCTCCCACTCCTCTCTCTCTCTCTCTCTCTCTTTCTCTCTCTCTCTCTCTCAAAAATAAATAAACATTTAAAAAAAATTTTTTAAATAATATTCTGTTTGAACTTGCCTTTTCTGATTAAATGTTCAACCCTTTTCCTGAACTGGGCTATGGCCACAACAGACTAGACCAGAAACTCACCAAAACTAGGGCTTCCTTTTCCTTCATGTCCTCTTCCATGACAACACCCAAAGCAGGTGTTGACTGCTAGGCTGAGCCAGGTGGATGCAGGAGGCTCCAGGTAGGAAATCATCCCTAAAGGAGGATGCACAGAGGACAAAAGGAGGCAGCCACAATGATTCAGTTTGGAGACTTAGACTTCATTTCTCTCAGATTGTGACTTTTTTCAACATGAGAACCAAGAATGACTTCCGCCTACCTGGAAAATCAAGCATCCTGGAGGATCTCCCCAAACCGGAAAAAAAAGATTAAGGAAAAAAGAGAATGGGTAGGTGAAGAAATAAGAAATGATCTTTATGGTCTAGGCAATATTTTAAAGAGGAGGGAAATGACTGACAGAGGTCTCCCCATCGTTCAAATGGGGTCTACCCATGTTAGGACTCATTGGTCTACCATGTTAGAACTTAACTTAGGCTTAAATTAGATTCATCATTCTTTGTCAAAGATCTCTAAAAGCCCCAGATGTATTCAATGTGCTCTTCATGGAAACTGCACCGCAGAAATGGGCAAAGCACACGACATCTAGAAAAGGCGTGGGTTTGAGGAAGCTTCTTGGAAGATTCAAGGAGTGTTAAGCCACTGAGCTGCATCATCCACTGGCTTCCACCAGTGCTGGATTCCTTGGCCACTCTTCTCCCAGATGTGGAGACAGCTGAAGCAGCTGGAGATTCATCTGAGACCCCATGAATTATAACCCTGGGCCTGGGTCCATTCTTCTTTGCTCAGAGGAAATACTTAACTCTATTTTTTTCCCTCTCAGCCACCCACTCTGTTTGGTTCTCTGGGGCAAAGTATTTCATAGAAATCCCTCTGGCACTTAAGTCCTGTATTTGTTCTCTTGGATGCTAGGAGGTGAGAACAAAGGGTCCTGACTTGGCTTGAGGAAACTCATCAAACCATGATTCCCTGCTGCCTCCTGCTTATACCCTGAATCTCCCCCTTACACAGTTTGAAAAACAGCTGCTACCCTTGGATCTCAGGCTTCCCAATTTAATCATTCATTTTATAGATTTACACACACACACACACACACACACACACACCTAAATTACTTTGGAGCACTTGGCTGTTCAAGAGATAACTAGCGCTCAGGCTGGTGGAGGAGAAAAAACTAGAAGGGAGAAGAAATGAATACTAAATCCTCCACTCCTGTCTGGGGATTTAAAAAGAAGCTTTTTCTGCCAAACTATCGTCTATCCCCTCTGCTCCTCCCAGTATACTCTTTTCCTGTCACCATCAGCACCCAGAATAGTAGCTTCAAACTGGGCACTTGAACTTGAGCCTCAGGCCACCAGCCACCATCAGCAGGAAAGCACCACCCCTGAAGTTTAGTACGTTAGACAAGGATCCAAAACAAAATGCATCATTCCTCCCAGGTGACTATGTTTTCTTCCCTCGGCACATTTTCCTTCTTAAAAAATTTACTTGACATACACAAAAGAGTGTGTGATTTGTAAAACGAGTTCCTACATATGATCGGACTTCATCTTCACAGAAACACTTGGAGAGGGAAAATGGTAGGACAGGAATTACTGGCATCTCCACTTTGGGCAATGAAAACTAAGACTTAAAGAGGTTAGGGGGATAGACAAAGGTCATCTGATTAGTAAGTAGCAAGAGGAAGACTGGAACACTCACCTGGTATTAAGTCCCAGCCCAGCATGTTTCCTCTCTACCTCACTCAGCTGCCTCTCTTCTGGCAAGACTGTGCCATTTTCCTCACTCCCAACGTGGGCACACCCCTTCTGGCCTGTCGTATACCCCCAGCACGCAGTTCTTTCCTCATCTTCCTTCCATACCCACACCCCTCACACTCTTTGAATGCTTGCTCACAAGCTAGTTTAAGTAGGATTTATAAGAACACCGTGACTTGCCTGGAAGCCAAGTCCAACTCTAGATCAACACCTAACTTGATGGCCTCAGTGTGACTGGTCTACTGTCTTTGGAGCCTTTACAAAAAGCCACAGAGAACACTCCTCACAGAGGAGTACTATTTAATTTGTATTAAGAGAGCATTTTTTTCTGTTGTATTCATTTTCACTTCCTTCCCTCCAGGCTACGGCACTAAGGGGACTCGACTCACTGCAAGTCAGTAGAGATCACAGTTTGCTCTAATGTAGTGATTCTTCACCATTTGGAGGCTATGGAGATGTTATAATCACTGTGAAACCTCATCCCTAGAAAAGTACCAGGAATGTACACACACTTGAAACTTGGCCCATAACTTTGGCAGATTTGTCCTCTCAGAAGCCCATTCCCTAGCTCCTGAACTATACCAAGCAAGCCCTGCCCATGCCCAAACAGGAAGAAGCCTCTTCTCACACATGTTGTTAAAATACTTGAAAATCAGATATGGTTGCTCCAGGACCTGAGCCTAAAACACCAGCCCTTATATGACTGAGAAATCAGGAGCATGGAACAGTCAAGCTGACTGCACAAAATTGCAGATCTTCAAGCCAGGGCTTAGCCCCAGCTCTGTTTGATGTTGGGTTATTTGGGGATGCTAGTTAAATGGCCCAGTCTCCAGGAACTTTGAATTCCTTACTCATGAAAATGGAGTAATATTCTTATTATCATCAGTAAGAACACAATGACCCCACAGAGTAAATAGCATTACGTGGGACTCTTGTAATTAGAAAGTATGATATAGGTCTCACTTCTGGAGTTTGCAATTTCTCTGATTTGTTCTGCCAAAAAAAAAAAAAAAAAAAAAAAAAAAACATGAAGTGAGCTGTAAGCTCTTTCTCTCTTCATGTAGGTAAAATTAGGGGGTAGGTACATAGCTTTTGGAAACCCAGGACAGCCAACCCTTCCCATCTGAGCTGTGCTCCTCCACTCTTGTCTCCTCCAAGCATTCTAGCCCCCTCCCCTCCACCTGCTACACTCCCTGTCTTCCCCACCCCACCCAGCCCCTGTTCTGCTTTCTGCCCTCTCTCTAATTCTTCTCATACATCTTCAATTCCTTTCCTCAAAATTTGCTGCTGCCTGCATCTTAATTTACACTCAGGTGAAAACAACTGATAACAGTTTCAAAATGCTTCCCATTCACATATATTTACACCTTTAAGGTATCAAAGTCTTGTTCAAAATGCAGTTGTGATGGTGGAATTTCAGACAGGACCAACAAGGGAGGTTCTTGAAGAGGGAACAAGAGTTCTCAAAAAGACCTTCCTAGGCAAGGTCACCACTAAGGTTGAACAAACCACCTGCACAGCAACAAATTCCATCTCTCCACCTGTCTGTCATCCATCACGCCTCTTACTGGACCCAATAGGTTGGGAGGGTTCTTACTAAATCTCCCAGGATGGAAGGATTTCCACCTCATAAGCTACTGTCCACAAATTTTTACCTGGTTTCTCATTTACAAAATCATGTGGAATGCCTACCTCATCTTTCCCTATCTCTTACTAACTTAGTCGATGTGCATTGCCTCATGTCAGGTTTCATGCCTCTGTTTCACTCTGGAAGTGAAGTGGGTGGGCAATGGGAGATGAGCAACAGATATCATCATGGACAAGGTGAGAGCAGTGAGCCCAGAGTGGCAGAAAAGATTTTCAATAGAGTGTCCACAACCAAATACGCATGAGGCTTATAGGCATGAGCTTTCTCTGATCCTCAGGAACATCAGAAATTAAAGGGCAGAAACTCTGGTATTTAACTACAGAATAACATCAAATTAGACTTTGACCCAGATCAGTGGTAGAAGAAAAGCTGCTTCTGGCTATCCTGGCCCAGACCCACCTCCCACTTGAGTGTGGATCCCAGAGCAGAACCCAAGGCACCCAGCAGACCCCAATTGTCTCCCACCTTGGGTTCCAATGCTCTGCTGAGAAGATAGATGTTATCTCCTTCATAAAGTCTTGCTGTGTTTTCCCTGCCCTTCTTCCTGCTCCCTACAGCTCGGTGCAGCCTCCTTTGTCACCATTGAGAGCTGAGAGGTGATGGGATACAGTAACCAGTAATGTCACTTCTTAGCCAAACTGGCTGGAGCAGCCCTGCAACTTGTCCAATACTTTCAAGCTGTGGTTGATGAGACTCTAAACATCAAGTTACTCCCAGTAAAGATTTCTCCCTTTCTCCTCTCTTTCTCTCACCCGGGAATCTCCTCCTTCCCATCAGGACATCCCACCCTGACAGGGTGAATCAGCCAACAGACCAACTGGAAGACACTTGTAGACCACAGAGCTCCACTGGGTGGAAATCACTGCATTTCATAAAGGCACATAAAGTGTGCCTATTGCTTCTGGAAAGGTCCCAGAGGTGGGAAGAGAAGAGACAACAGGAGCAGTGACTGGACCGACAAATCTCACCTGTGCTCTCAAAAGTGTGAAAAGAGAAAAGTGGGGGAATGGGGAAACTGGAAAGATGAGTAGAAATTTAAAAGAAAACCCCAAATTTTACGTATATTCATCCAGCAGACTGCATTCTTACAGCTCTAACTACACATCTTAGCATTTGGCTCTGAATTCCGCATTCGTAGTCCCCGTGACTGCTGAGCTTCCAGTGACATACCAGAGGGTCCTAAACAGGCCTAAAAACAAACTCATTAGTCCCTCTTCTGAACATACCCTCCACAACATACACACATGCGCACACCTTCTTCTTCCTGTTTTCCCCAACTTGGCCAGTGGCATCTCTGTTCACCTCAGCCCTCAACTAGTCAGCCTTGCTACCTTCGCCCCGCTGAGCCTCTGCACCCATCACCCCATGGACCCTGAGTACTCCTCTCCATCACCACCACCACATCCTTAGTCCAGGGTCCTCACCATCTCTGGAAAGCTTGTTCTAACAGGTCTCCCTTTTTCCAGCCCCTCCCTTCACGTGGTCCTCAGTCTATATAATTGCTAGAGCTGTCCTTCTAAAAGACAAACGCCGTCAGTTACTTCCCTGCTTAAGTCTTCAATGAGTCTTCATTGCCTCTGGAAGAAAGCTCCTCAGCACCCAGGGTAACAAATGCATGCCCTCACATACTGGCCCAGCTTACTGGCCCAGCTAACTGTCCCAGCTTCATCGCCTGCCACACCTGGGCAAGACCTTACACTCCAAACCTGCAAGATTCACTTTCCCAAATGCAAAGGTTCTTGTATGTGTCTGTGTGTCTGTGTGTCTAGGAGAAAGACAGCATGGCTTGAAGCTTGGGCACCATCATAAACCAAACAGTAACTATCCAGACCAGGAATTCATGGCCAACTGACTACTTCACAACAGAAACAAATGGTCTTTGATGTCTGTCACCCCAGAAAGGTATTAGTACCTAAGATAGAAATTCAGGAAAAACAAGCCAAAATGTACAAGACCACACCAGGTGTCACCTTTGTATTTGAATTCAGAACCCATTTTGGTGGTGGCAAGACAATGGGCTTTGGCATGATTTAGGATTCCTTGGAGTATGCAAAGAAAAATGAACCCAAACACAGACTTGCAGGACATGGCCTGTATGAGAAGAAAAAGACTTGGGGCTCCTGGGTGGCTCAGTCGGCTAAGCACCTGACTTCAGGTCAGGTCATGATCTCATGGTTTGTGAGTTCGAGTGCCTCGTCGGGCTCTGTGCGGACAGCTCGGAGCCTGGGGCCTGCTTCAGATTCTGTGGCTCCCTCTCTCTCTGCCCCTCCCCCGCTCACACTCTATCTCTCAAAAATAAATAAATGTTAAAAGAATTTTTTAAAAAGACGCAAGAGGGGCGCCTGGGTGGCTCAGTCAGTTAAGCGTCTGACTTCGGCTCAGGTCATGATCTCGCGGTCTGTGAGTTCGAGCCCCACGTCGGGCTCTGTGCTGACAGCTCAGAGCCTGGAGGCTGCTTCGGATTCTGTGTCTCCCTCTCTCTCTGCCCCTCCCCTGTTCATGCTCTCTTTCTGTCTCAAAAATAAATAAACGTTAAAAAAATTAAAAAATAAAAAAGACGCAAGAAAACAGCAAAAGGAATGCAAGAACAGAATGACAAAAGTCAGGGGCCTGCAAAAGGTGAACTGGAGATTGGACAGCAGAAGGAGTAAAGATTCTGCAGTGACTTTATCTGTGGTGATTGTGCAGACTTCTTCGTAAGAGGATTAATAAACTAAGAACTTTAAAAAGAGAGAGAGCATGGGTGTGAGCAGGTTACACATGTCACACAAACCTGGGTTTTGCTATAGAGCAGCAGGGGGGACAGTGGGATTAGATGTGACATGGAATGAATGCAGGGCTGGGATCCACATTCTAGCCTTGAATCTCCTGTCAACCGGGGTGTGACTCCGGGAAAATGACTTCCTTGCAGATCTCAATTTCCCTATCTGTAAAGTGAGAAGTTAGAAAAAGGATCTCCTCCTCTAATGTCTGTGTCCCTCCTCAAAATTCTGTCGTGCCAATGAATTTGATGAGACTCCAGACAGAGCAGACTACAAAAAAGAATGTTCTTTAAAAAAAAAAAAGAAAGAAAGAAAGAGGGGTGCCTGGGTGGCTCAGTCGGTTAAGTATCTGACTCTTGATTTCAGCTCAGGTCATGACCTCACGGTTGGTGAGTTCAAGCCCCACATCAGGCTCTGTGCTGACAGCTTGGAGCCTGCCTGGGATTCTCTCTCTCCGTCTCTCTCTGCCTCTCTTTCCATTTCTCTCTCTCTCTCTCTCTCTCTTTCTCTCTTAAAATAAATAAATTTTTTAAAAAATAAAGTTTTTTATTAAAAAAAAAGAGAAAGAAACAAGTCCTATAACCTCAGGAAGCATCATCAGTGGACACCTGCACAATTTGCTCTAGGCCTAGATGT